ATAAATTGTAAAGAAAGTACCACCTGTAGATTAGAAGAAATAGCCCTAATGTTCCTGGTTGCAGTGGAGACATGAGCATGCATTACTGTGATTGCTTGTGTAAATGGCAAGCAAGATTAACTGGCCATTTACTTTGATTGCCTGAATGGTTTATGGGTACATCAATAAGAAGATATGGGCTGTAAATTTTAATTTACTTCTGCTGGCTGTGAATCTCAGATAAGCCAACCTAGATGCTTTTGGACTTTTAAATATAAACTAAATTGTTCTAAACCAACTCACTGGAAAAGTGACTTGCTATTAAACAATTTATCAAAGAAATATTTAAATTTATAAAGGTGATTTTATAGAATTTGAGTTCAGTTCTGCGAATTATATAAAGTAGGGCTTCCCTCAGTGATGGGTTTGAAATAATTTAACAACTGGTTCTCTGCCTCGCCTTCTCTCTTCTCTTCTTGGTCAGGGTGGGCTGCTCAGGGGGTCAACTAGGGTGGGGGCAGGAGGTCCCATCAGAGGGGCAGGCCCTCCTGATTGCGGAATTGCTGAAGGTCTCAGTTGGGGGAGCAGGAGGGAATGATAGGGGGGCTGCAGGAGTCTCGGAATGGGATGGGTGCAGGAGGGTGGGGGGGTCAGCAGGTCCTGGCTGGGGGAAGGTGAGGGGGTCAGGCTAGGGGAGCGGGAGGGCTGGGATGCCTCCATGGGGAAAGCCGCGCCCCCGCTGGCCGAGCCTCTCATCCACACTGCGGTCACTTAGGATTGCATAGAAGGGGCGCCAAGCAGGAGGTGGAGGGGGAGCAGCTGGCAGGAGGGAATCAGAGCAGCCGGGACCCCACCAGCCACCCACCCCCCCACTAGTGCAAGGATGGGCGGCACAGTTTCCCTTCCAGAGCTGCTGCCGGTCAGGCCAGGCAATGCAGGGATCACCGCTGCTTCCTGCTTCCCTGCATGGCTGGCGGGTTGAGGGGCTCAGAGCAGCAGCAGTACAGCAGCCGCCCCTGCCCCCGTCAGAGCTGCCAAGCAGACGGGGCCCGGGCTGGGCGAGGGCTCCCTTCCAGCCGTCCAGGGGCTGTTTCTGCCTGTGCCGAAGTGGCTCTGTGGCCGGTTCGACATGATGCAGGACAGTGCCTCTTATGTTTTTGATTACAAGTGGTACCTTCCTCGACCACACGGTCTCCCTGAAAGCTATCAGTTCTAACGCCGTATACAGGCGTTTGGAGAAAAAATAATAAGTCGCCATTTGATACCTGCCTTCTTCCTATGGAACCAAAGTTAGAGGGCACGTGGCTGAAGAGAGGGACGGTCGGTGTTCTGCCTGCTTTATTATGGGGCAGGCTATTAACCCTTTTATTTTTAATGAAATGGAGCAGGCTGCCTGTTAATAGCCTGCGGCGTAATAAAGCAGGCAGAACTGCAACCGTCCCTTTCTTCAACCAGATGCCTGCTAACTCGCCGAGGTCCCACATGGCCGGATGCATCCCAGCATGGCTAGTTTGCCTCCCCCCTGTCCTGGCCTCGCATGCTCTCCTTTTCCCGGGCACGACTCACTGCAGTGCCTCCTCAGCTGTCGGCTGGCCAACCAGCCAGCCAGCTCAGAGGCGGATTCTCTGAACTGCTGGTGGCGGGCGAGGCGGGGGCTGCTTTTAGTTTTCTTTTCAGGACAACTTCGGCCGATCCCCCCTCACCTGCCCACCCATCCTCTTCCCTTTCACTTCCCTTCCGAGCCCTTTTCGCAGCTCTGCCCACACAGCCATCGAAGTGGCAGTTAGAGCGCCAGAGCTGAAAAGCATTTCTCTGCCGTCGTGGAGTTGGAGATCTTGCCCTTCCCACCACCGCCCAGATGCCCTCACTTCCCAACCCATTTCTTTTCTAACCTTCTTTCTAGCTCCTCTGTCACTACTTCCGTTGTCATGTGCAGTCCCAGAAACAAAAGTTTGTGGGACTAAAAAAAAAAAAGTTCAATTAATCAATTCCAATGTCTTGCAAAAAAAAAAAAAAAGACCTCGCGAACTTGGAATTCATTGAACTTTTTTGTTTAGTCTCATAAACTTCTTTTATTTGTGGGACTGCTCACAGTGGCCGAGGAAGTGACGGAGGACCGCGTCGGAGCTGGAAAGAAGGTGTCACATGGGTCCGATCGGGGGCGGGAGGGGGTGGTGTTTCTGCCATGTCAACTGGTTCTCCGAACTCAAAAGAAATTAGCTACCGGTTTTACTGAACCAATGTGAACTGGCTGAATCCCACCACTAACTTCCCTTCTTTCCCTGGTGATTAAATTTGTTCCATATAGGAAAAGAGGAGAAATATCTTAAAAGTGTCTCCTGGAAGGAATCCCTTAAAATCATTTTTGACATGATGGCAGTTAGATCTGAATGTCTAAATTTGTTTTCACAGGGAATAAATCTAGTGCCTTATAGATAATGCTGGCACTTCAAAGTATTCCTTTAGCCTTTAAAACCTTATATGTTACATGGCCAGGTTATCGGAGGGACTGCCTCTCCCAGTTACATCTACCCATCCCATCAGGTTTAGCAGAACAGGCAAGTCATAAGTCCTGCCTCTTAATGAGTGGCATCAGATGGGACCTAGGAGACGAGCTTTTTCTCCCATGGCATCTACCTCTGGAACATCATCACCCTGGGGGTGTGATTGTCCCCGATCCTAGTGATCTTCCAGATGTGTGGGGTTTTTTTTAGCAGACCTGGGAATCTCCTGGTAACAAGGAACCTGCATATTGGTTGTATTACAGGTAGTCCTCAACATACAATCATAATGGAGTCTGCCCATTACATCCCTACATTGTAACAATCATAAAAGGGGTCAGTCATTTAGCAGCAATTGTAACTTCAAATGGTTGCTAAGCAATCGATCATAAGTTGAGGACTACCCATATGTTTAGTCTGAGGTATTCTCTCATGATCTTATTTCTATTTATGTCTAAATGTTTTGATATTTTTTAAAGAATGTTTTATTTGCAATAGTGGCGAATATCTGTAGCTCGGTTGTAGGATGAGGGTGAAGGTTCGTTTTCTGTGCATTGGTTTCCGAATGTTTCATTACCAGGCTAGATAACATCTTCAGCGGAGTACCAGGCCATGAACCTTCGCCCTAATGGTTTATTAGCTGGTTTTATTGTGCATGCCTAAAGTCAGGTGGGCAACCAAATAAATATGAACAATAAATAAAACAACCAGCAAAGAGGTTGAGGATGCCACAAGGATTGATAAATGTCAGAAATGTGATTGTGTTCTGCTAGGTCATGGCTTTGAGAATAGACTCCTCTGTTAAATCAAGATTTTGATTCTGCATAGTGACAAGCTACCATATAACTTTGATATGCACTTAAAGGGGAAAAGCATAAACAAAATTTAAAAAAAGCAAAAGCAAATTATAAAGTTACAGCCGAAAACAAAAGCTAAGTATTGCAGGGTCAGCGTTTGCTTTCAAACGTGCTGTTCTAAACAGCTCTTCAAATGATTTTATATAGCATATTTTGATTTGCTTTAAAAAGAAACAATGCCTTTGGATTGTCAATCCATAGTTCCCCTTTCTGTGCATTCTTTTGTATTCCAAAGTTTCATCTCCAAATAGACTTAGCCAGTAAAATGATTTGGCAGCCTCAAATATTTCAGGAAACGAATGAAATCAGTTTTCTGTTTTCCTGGTTTTTTGCAAATAAAATTGAAGTAGAAGACAGTTAAAGTAATTTAAAATAAAAACCCATAGCGCCTTTTGCAACCTTGCAATCAATTTATGGGAGTTTTCTGTTTGGCTCTGGGAAGATCAATGTGAAATTGCTATTTGTATAATTGTGTCTTTAAAAAAAATTGGGAATATCATTTCCTTCAGTAATCTCGCTTGAATAAATGCATACTATCAGCCTGAAAATAGATGGTTTTTAATCAATTATATATTTATTTATTTATTTATTTATTTATTTATTTATTTATTTATTTTGATTTATATCCCGCCCTTCTCCCAACGGGACTCAGGGCGGGATATATACTGATATTATTAGCTTTTTAAATAACAATCTCCTTGAAATATGCAATAAAAAGTTGTGAAGAAGAGATTTGTTTTCAGATTGGGCATTAAGCTACTACAATTTGCAAATGATTATTTACTTAATTACTTTTAGGTATGGTTTCATGTGGTTTTTATATATAAAATATTGCTATTTTATAGGATGACATTTTAAAATTAATATTTTTATTGTATACTCCTGGAATCTTTGTAGTGTGAAATATAAAAATATTGTAAATAAATAAATGAATTATGTATCACTTTTCCTAATGGGGCATACGTATCTGCTAATTATATTCTATTAGTATCTAGTGGCTGGGTTTAAATAATATTTTTCTGCTCTGATGGCCTCCTGTGGTTCTTAGAATTACAGATGACTGGCAAGGAAGTCCAAACCATCTGGAAGTCCAATACATCATATTGGGGAAAACTGAAAGGTTTTCTCAGAAAATGGTGTAAATCTGCAGTGCACTTATGACAATTCCATATGCTATTTCCGTTTCATTATATTGACAAATTGATATAAACAGTATTTTGCTTTTTACTGATTAGTTCCATATTATTTTGGGGTATACATCTAAGAGTTTGGTGTATTCTGTGTCCTTTTGCTATTGTGTATATCAGAAAGAACTGTCTAATAGTTTTCCCAGAGGGCTATTTTGGAAAGAACTTGTAATAGAGAGAAAAATCTTCCACTTTCACCCCAAATCCACCTATATTTCCCAGAAGATTCAAGTTTCTAAAAGTTTCAATTTATCATAGATACGAATAAAACAACTCTATCATTGAATGTCCTTCTTCCTTTTCCAAGTTTGGTACCTTCCCAATGTGTTGAGTTTCAAAATGGGAAAATGATTACATTGAAAAGTATATTCATATACAATTGACTAAGGATTATTGCCACCTCAAAGTATTCATTAGAGTGAATTTCTAATAAAACAACAAATAACTTTGTTTTTTCTTTATGTTATTTATCATAGGCAAAATTCTCTTCCGACGAAGTCATATCCGTGATGTTGCTATTAAGCGCCTTATACCCATTGATGAGTATTGTAAGGTAATGGATATTTTTTATTAGTTTGATTAGGGCACCACTTTCAATATATGGCTCCTTATTATACACAATCATCATTGTTGGTTCATATTTTCACGTGACCTGGAATGTTACAGCTGTTCACTCAGTGTCAAGCCCCTGGGCTCGACACGAACCGGTGGGGGGGAGGAACGGAGCAGCCAGCCGAAGCCACCCGCAGCCAACCTCTGTCTGATGCCGGCTGAAATCCCGTGTGCCACCCGGATCCCAAAAGCCAGCTGGGCGTCGGAGACGGGCCAGCTGGGCGTCGGGGGGCTGCCTTTCACCGCGGCTGCCTCTCCCTTGTTGCCGGAAGTCAGGGAGGAAGCCGGGTATGGCGTTTACCAGCTGGGCATCGGGAACATTGCCTGACGCCGCGTGGCACGCTGCCGGTGGCCGGGGAGGACACCGGCCGCTGTGTGAGGCTGCTGGGCTCCAGAAGGGCCGCCTGATGGCATCACACACCGCGGAGTGACTCCGGTGGCTGCAGAGGCCATGTGGCCCGGAGAGGCCACCCGACTGAGGAAAGGCTGCAGTGTTGCATCCAGAGGGGGGGGGGTCGGAAATTGGACTGCAGCTTTTACCTGCACGGACCGGATGCTGGCTTGCTGATTGGGGTGGGGTTGGAGGGCAGGGCACATCTATGTAAGGCACTGGGAGCAAACCATTCTCAGTGCTGACTTTCATTTTGCATGCATTAAACACTTGTTGGTCACTTTGTTCCTGTGTTCCTGGCGTTTGTTTTCAGCAGACAGAGGACATCGGACACTCAGTTGTTGTGTAAATCTGATAAGAAAATACTACCAAGTAGTAGAAGGTTACTTTATAAAGACTTGAAATTGAGGGAGGGCACCTGCTTTCTTCCCCCCAAAATCCAGCCATGTTTTCCCAAAAATAAGACCTGGCCTTTTTTTTTTTTTTTTTACCTCCAAAAGAAGCACCAGGTCTTATTTTCAGGGAGTGTCTTTTCCTCTCACCTCCAGCATCAGCCCCACCCAGCCGACCCATTTCTTCTGCAGCCGAAGGAAACAGATTAATTGTGCAGCTGAGAATGGAGCTCTGGCCTGCATTTCGCAGTCAAAGGCTTTTCCGGAAAGCTACTGCAGCCAAGAACCAAGCTATGGATTCAATCCATAGCTCGGTTCTCAGCTGCAGAGGCCTTCCAGAAAGGCCTCTGACTGTGAAATGCAGGCCTGAGGATGCAGCAGAAGAAGTGGGCTGGTGAAGAGAGGCCTGGCTGCAAGGTAGGGGAGCAGAGGGCATGGGACAGCTCCACACTCCCACCCTAGCTTGATTTTTAGGTGTGTGCCTCACCCCAAAACTAGGGTTTATTTTGGGGGTAGGGCTTTCAGGGAAACACGGTACTACTTGTAGTAGTTGTATGCTCCTCTATGAGGGAGATGGGCAGCTGAGAAGTTTGGTGTGTGTGTGTGTGTGTGTGTGTCCCAGAACTCCAAAATGTCCAGATAAACAAAATTGCAAGCAATTTCAGTTAGTATAGAGCAGGAGTATCAAACTCGCAACATCACGTGATGTGTTGCGATGTATTGCGACTTTTTTGCCATTGCCGGTAATGGGGTAGGCATGGTTTCACTATGATGCATCCGGTTCGCAGGCCGGCAGTTTGACACCCCTGGTATAGAGTTATATTTGTTTGTTTCAGGAATACTGCAGCTTTATAAAGTATCTACTGTATGTCAATGTTAAATAATTGTGCATTTTCTCTCATTAGATCCTTTATAATGCATTATGGAAATGCTGATTTATTATTAATATATTATCATTAGGTTTGTTCGGTATTTGAAATTCACTATTAAATGCTGAATTATGGTGAATACATTGTCATTGGAACCATGTTAGTAAGTAGATGACATAATGATTTTATTAATGCCAAGCCAATAAAAATCTAATTTAGCCTCATTTATTACTCAATCACTTATCATCAAACTTATTCCTTCATAGATCTTAGCTGAAAGATGAAAGCAACTTCCCTTCTCAGCTGGAGAGAAGTTACTTCCATTAGATTGCTCTATTTTCCCACTGCTGAAAGTAATTCACATTATACCCTTCAAATAATAGCCTTTATAATACAGTTACTGCTCAGTTACAGGGGTTCCAAATCTATTTGGCTCATGGACACATTTCAAATTTTGATTAAGTCTACCCTAAAATTATTGTCTTGAATGCACAACGATGTGTGTGAATGTCTGTCTAGCTTATTGTAATCTCTGTTTCATAGGAAGACAAATTATAGAGGTAAAAAAGTACATAATGTGCCTGAGATTCTGATGTATGTATTTCTCAGTCTAAAAAGAATTGGCACTAATGCAAAGTAAATCTGGTCCTCATTTCAGGTGAGGAATTTCCACTGTATACAATTCTAAAGTGAAACAAAGCAAGACAGGAAGGTTGATTGTTTATGTGCCATCAAGTTGGTGTCACTTTTAGTGACCACATAGATTCTTTGCATAATGATCTGTCCCTAACCTGATTCTTCAGGTTTTCCAATGGTGAAAAATGGGCAATTATAAATTTTATGAATGAATGAATGAATGAATAATCATTACCCTGATTATATGAAAAGCTGCTCCTTTTTTGAAGATCAAAATATGAGTCAACTACACTTGTTTTACCTCAAGGGAACTCATGCATGGCAAAAAGAAAAGAAAAAAACAGTGAGAACAGGAGCTCAATATAGGTGGTACCATATTTCCTAAAGAAAGAGATACAACATGCAAAATTGCAAACAATTCCAAAGGAAAAAAATGGAGGACAATAAAAGAAGCCACAATGGCCATGCAAAGCAAAAATCTGAAAAGAAAAAGGACACATTTAGAAAGGAAAACAGGGCTGGATCAAGAAGGAAGAATACAGGGAACTAATCTAGAACTGTAGAGAGAATGTCTGGAAAATGAAATATCCAGATGAGTTAGGTGAAATATTTAAGACTAAAAGGACTGTTTCAGATGTATTCAAAATTAATGGGAAAGGATCTGTATATAAAGAAAAAACAGAGCTACACAATTCCCCCAAAACTGTTCTTCCAGAAATAATAATAATAATAATAATAATAATAATAATAATAATAATAATAATAATAATAATAATAATAATAATAATAATAATAATAATAATAATAATAATAATAATAAAAGTTGAAAGGGACCTTGGAGGTCATCTAATCCAACCACCCACTCAGGCAGGAAACCCTATACCATTTCAGACAAATGGCTGTCCAGTCTCTTCTTAAAAACTTCCAGTGTTGGAGCATTCACCACTTCTGGAGGCAGGTTGTTCCATTGGTTAATTGTTCTAACTGTCAGGAAGTTTCTCCTTAGTTCTAGGTTGCTTCTCTCCTTGATTAGTTTCCATCCGTTGCTTCTTGTCCTGCCTTCAGGCACTTTTTTGTGGCAGCCCCTGAGATATTGGAACACTGCTATCATGTCCCCCCTCGTCCTTCTCTTCATTGAACTAGACATACCCAATTCCAGCAACCGTTCCTTATATGTTTTAGCCTCCAGTCCCCTAATCATCTTTGTTGCTCTTCTCTGTACTCTTTCTAGAGTCTCAACATCTTTTTTACATAACGATGACCAAAACTGGATTATGAACAATAAGTTGAAGGGGGCAAGAGAAAAGCTTGAAGGCGGTAAAAACCTGTTCGGGGATACTTCTTTGAAAAAATAAATCTTTAGGATCAGATGAATTGTAGCTTTGCATACTGAAGAAAGTAGCTGGTGGTATAGCTAAACTCTTATGTATTTAGCTTTGAGAAATCCTGGAGTACTGATGAAGTACTAGATGACTGGAGGAAGGCAAGTGGTGTTCTTTTTTTTCAAAAAGGGAACAAAGGGAGATTCAGCAAAGTACAGTATAGATCTGTCTGACATCAATACCTGGAAGGATTGTAGAGCAGGTCATAAAGAGATCAGAGTGTAAATGTCCTCAAAACAATCCAGTATTTACCTGTGGTCAGAACTAATCTTTCCAGACTAACCTTATCTCATGTATTGATTGGGTGCCTTTGATAGATTGTGTGAATGTATGTTGACTTCAGCAATGCCTTGACGAAGTACAATGTCTAATGGGATGTTAATTCACAATCTGATTTTGTATGTTCTAGGTGGAGATAACTTTCAAGTGAATATATTGCTGGTTTGAAAATCGTAGTTGACTGCTCCTTGTCACATTGGAGAAAGGTACCTATCTCCTCAAGGTGCAGTCCTACGTTTTCAACTGTTTAATATTTTTATTAATGATCTGGATGAGAATACAAAAGGATTGCTTACAGTTTTGCAGGTGACACAAAATTGAATGGGTTTGCTAATACCTCTAGGAAACAAAAATTAAAAAAATTAAAAATCCTGATGGGGTTAGAGAAATGGGCTGAACTTTAAAAAAATTTTTTAATGAAGACAAATGCAGAATTCTTGATTTGCAAAATAAAAAAAACCATAGCTATTGGGTGGGAGATATGTGACTTGACAACGGTACTTTCAATCAGTCAATCAATCAGAATAGAGCTGGAAGTCCCGCCTGGACTACTGTAATGCTCTCTACATGGGGCTCCCCTTGAGGAGCACCCAGAGGCTCCAACTGGTCCAGAATGCGGCCGCGCGGGCGGTGTTGGGAGGGACTCGTCGCTCCCATGTAACACCGCTGCTGCGCGAGCTGCACTGGTTGCCGGTAGCCTTCCGGGTGCGCTTCAAGGTGTTGGTCATCATCTTCA